GCTTATAAAGGTTAATGATTGGTACCTCTTTTCCTATAATGTCTTTGTCTCATTTTGGTATCAAGGTAATGCTGGAATCATCAAATGAGTTTGGCAAAATGTAGAACTATCATACAATCCAACAATTCTAACTACAGTGTATTTATCCAAAGGAAAGAAAATCAGTATCGCAAAGGGATACCTGCACCCAAAGTTTATTGCAACACTATTCATAATAGCTAAGGCATGTGATCAACCTAAAAGTCAATTGACAGACTAATAGATTTTAAAAAATGTAACATATGGGCACAATAGATTACCATTCATCCTTAAAGAGAATGAAATCCTGTCATTCACAATAACATGGATAAGCCTAGAGGATGTCATATTACATGAATTGTCAGACAGAAAGATAAATATCATATGTTCTCACTTATATATGGGTGCTAAAAAAAGCTTAAGTTCATTAAAGTAGATAGTAGAATTGTGGTATAGGGGTTGAGAAGAGTAGGGGGAAAGGGAGAATAACCAGTGACTGTTTAACAAGTACAAAACTACTGGTAGATTTCTAGTTCTTTCAGAAATCGCCACACTGTCTTCCAAAGAGGTTGCACTAGTTTACATTCCCACCAGCAGTGAAGAAGCGTTCCTTTTTCTCCACATCCTCGTCAGCACCTGTTGTTGCTTGTCTTATTAATGACAGCCATTCTCTCTGGGGTTAGGTGGTATATAACGTGGTTTTGATTTGCATTTCTTTGATGATTAGTGAGACTGAGCACTTTTTCATGTGTCTGTTGGCTGCCAATATATCTTCTTTTGAGACGTGTCTATTCATGTCTTTTGCCCACTTTTTAATGGGACTGTTTGCTTTTTTCCTTTCTCACGTTTGAGTTCCTCGTAGATCCGAGGTGTTAGACCTTTGTCAGATATACAGTTGGCAAATATTTTTCCTCATTCTATAGGCTGTCTCCCTGCTCTCTTGATGGTTTCTTTTGCTTTGCAGAAGATTGTCAGTTTGATGAGATCTCACTTGTCTTTTTTATCTCTTATGGTATGGGCACCTGGGGTTTTGATCAGGAATTGGTTGCCAGTTCCAGTTTCCATAAGGATGTCTCCTGCATTTTCTAAGATTCTTATAGTATGAGGTTTGACCTGCCATATGACCCAGTAATCTCCCTATTAAGAGTATACCCGGAGGAACTCAAGTCATTCTACCAAAAAGATAACTGCAAACGCATGTTTGTTGCAGTTCTATTCACAATAGCAAAAACATGGAACTAACCATGCTACCCTTCAAAGCTGGGCTGGTACATATATGTGTACATATGTGGTACATATACACAACGGAATATTATGTAACCATAAAGAAGGACAAACATATGGACTTCGCAGCAACTTGGATGAATTTAGAGTCTATCATACTCAGTGATCTATCACGGAAACAAAAAACAGAGTACCATATGTTCTCACTCATAAGAGGACCTTGAAAAATTATCATATACTCTAAGAAAGGGTTTGGTAGTAGCGGGAACTGCCGGGGGCGGGGGGGGGGCAGCAGGATTGGCAGTTGAGGGATATTACCAGGGAAGGGAGGGGCACACCGCATCAACAAGGGTGCTTGCATAATGAACATTTGTGTACCTAACCCTGAATTGTACCCCACATCTTTAAAATAAAAAAAAAAAATTTTAAAGGCAAATGTCTGGCCACCAATGATGCTGTTTCTGTTTATCACTTCTTTTTTCTGTATATAAATACTGCCCATCCATGTTGCTAGGTGAAGTTCTCTGGACTGTTCCAGATTGAGTGCTGTTTCATTTTTTAATTGTTACTTTCTCAAATAAATTCTTCTAAATTAAAAAAAATTACAGGTAGATAGGAGGAATGAGTTCTGGTGTACAATACTACAACGTGACCACGGTTAACTATAATTTACTGAATATTTTCAAAAAACTAGAAAAAAAGAATTTTGAATGCTCACAAACACAGATAAATGATACATGATAGAAGTAATGATATGCTAATTCACCTGATTTGATCAGTTCACATTAGATATGCCTGTACTGAAATATCATACTATATCCCATAAATACTATAAATCTCATAGTATCCCATAAATACTATATATAGAATAGTATCCCATAACTTTATGGGATATAGTATCCCGTAAATACTAAATATGTAGTATCCCATAAATACTATATATATGCTTATTACATGTTAACTAAAAATAAAGGGGAAAACATGATAGTTGTAGCAATTGAGTGATATGGAAAATATTTTGATTAAATTAGAAACTAAAATTAAATTAAACAAAAAATGCAAAACTACATATATAGCATTATAGTAACTGGTTAAAAATATGCCATAACCATGTGGTGGAATAGTTGGGACAAACACACTAAAATGTTAATATTAACAATATTAAGACAGAGGAAATGTGGATTTCTTTCTTGCTTTTTTGAATATTTACCAAATAGTTTATAAATCTGTGATGCTGTTTTCAAAATGAATATGTTTAATATTATGAAATAATGAGATAGGAAGTGGGAAAGTGTATGTGGGAAGAGAGGAAAGCCTCTTATTACTCCCTTTTCTCATTTATGCTTCTTGAATCTGGGGATTGGGCCATTGGGATATTGTCTCAAAGGAAACCAGGTTCATTAATACCTTCCAATTTGAAAACACGGTAAATTCAAACTCTTAGGTCCAAACTAAGAACAGGGCTGAATGTGAAATCTATGTGTCTTGAATTCAAGAGGATATGGTGCGAAATCGTGGTTTTATACCATGGCATCTTATACAAAATAGAGTTTTGGCTTTAGGAACACCTTTTTTTTTTTTGCCTGGAAACTTTAGATTAAAATCTCACAACCTGCAGCAGATGTGCTTTCCATCAGTTGTCATGTGCCTAAAACTTTGCCTGCTTCTGCTTAATTCTTGTTCTGCATATACGACTCTCTTTTCTTTTATCCCCCTCTGTCTTACTTAGGCTCCTATGTGTCCTGTTTATTTCACCTGCTCAATCAGCTGAAGGAGAAGAATCATGGACCTTAAGGAAATTCTTATATTTTGCTGAGTGAAACAATCCATTAGTATGCCTGCACTGCAAAAGAAATGAAGGAGAGAGGTCTTAGAGATAAGTATGTGTGTGTCAGGAGAAAGTCTTGTGGGGGAAGGTGGATGATGTTGAAGGAAATAATCTTTGTAAGGAATTCTATTTTTCAGTTAGCATAAAATTAGAAACTATTCCTCACTGTTAATATCTATTCTTTTTATCAGAATAGGTTTAGATGGAAATACAGCATTGAGTACTGACTGCAGAGAAGGAATGAGAAGGTTTTTAAAAGCATAACTAAGGTAATTTGTGAAATTTACTTTTGCCCAGGGCAGTTTGGTCCATACACCTGTGCCATTTGGCAGTGTGAATTTGGTCACTGAGCTAGAAACAGAAAGGTTCAAATTAAAGGAAGAATTTGTGCACTTCCAGCCTACAGTTTGATCTTCTAATTCTGCTAGTATATTTATCTAACATATTCTTTTGAATCTGAAGAAAAAATTTTCCTGACCTGTGTGTCTTTCAGGGCTGGGCATAGTGAGTGATACCTGTAATCCCAGTCCTTTGGGAAGCTGAGGCAGGAAGTTTGCGGGAACCCAGGAGTTTGAGACAGCTGAGGCAACACAGAGAGACCTCATCACTAAAACAAATTAAAAAATTAGTTGGGTGTGGTGACATGCACCTATAGTCCTAGCTACTTGGGAGGCTGAAGTGAGAGGATTGCCCGAACCCAGGAGGTCCAGGCTGTGATTACCCTGTGATCTAGCCTAGGTGATTAGATCGCAGCCTGTGAGACTCTGACTTAAAATATAAATTTATATATGTATATAAAATGCAGATTTTTAAAGTGTATACTACTTAATAAAGCAAAATCATATTGTTATTGAAATTTGCATTTGTGATATCTGTAGTATAGAAAGAAAACCTAGTTGAGGAGAGACAATTTCTGATGGGATACAGTAAATTCTATTACCTATCTATTACCTTTTTCTAGACTCAATCCAATTTCTACAAGTAATAAATATTAATGTATTCATATATACATATATAAATAAATATAAATGCTCTTCTCTTGAATATAAATGTTGAAGAATTGAAAGAATATTGTAAAAAGTAAAAATAAATTGTTAAGTGTATATCATTTCTATTTAGTTTCATATTTTTGCGTTCATATACTTGGGTAGTTGGTTTATTTAAAAAAAAAAATCATGGTTTGGCTGATATTGAAATGAAGTTGTTACCTGATGACAAAATTCCCATGAGGAAGATGGTTCTGAAATATACCAGTTTAACTGAATTTAAAAAAATGTAGTACATATACACAGTGGAATATTATGCAGTCATAAAGAAGGACAAACATATGGACTTCACAGCAACTTGGATGG